GTATTTCCCTCAGAAAAAAAGGAGGAGTCACCCGTCCCATTTTAAATCCTCGGGATCGAGGTTGAAAATTCTGAATTTTTACGTTGCAGTTGCTCGTTTGTGTTCTCGATGGCCACATTTTTCCTTCCTTCTCCCAACCCAAGCAACCACTCCCTTTCGCGAGCACCCCAGTGCAGGGTGTGCAGAGCCCCCTTGCTTTCAGCCCCCATTGCTGGTAAGTGTTGGGAAAGGTAATAAGAGAAGCCTGGGATAGTCAGAGACAGAAACTGAGTAGGATTATGGGAATTTCTGGACTCTTTTTCATTTCCTTCCCTCCCCTCCCCTACCGTCATTGCCGGTTTGCAACCGTTATGGTTGTCGGTTTACACCTACATCCGAGTTTTCAGTACTCTTCTCGCCTTTTCAACTCTCTCGCATTATTATCTTTTCTTCCTGCCAAAGCCACCTTTCTGTAATCAGTATAATTCGGATAGCGGATCTCATTAAGATGAAGGGATAAAACCTAACTATTGCTTGTTGCATTTGTTTAGCGTCCTTCACAGGTCCAGGAAGATAAAAACATAGGGTGCCCATGCTGTAGATTTGGCCCGTTGAATGTGACTGTTCGGACAGACAGAATTGGTTACTGTGTAGGAGAACTAATGACAATTACAGTGTCCGCCAACAACCAAACTCCTTACAGGATTCTTGGAGTGGAGGTGGAATTGATTCAGGACACTATTTATGTATCGCAACGAGGTAAACAAAAGCCCATGTTGACAACAGGTGCCAAAGATTATAGCCTCCAAGTAATCATGTTGATTTTTTTGAAGAAATTAATGTTTTAAAAGCCGTGGGTTTAGTTTTTCCCATGGTTATTTCCTGTCAGTGATAGAAAATGATAGAAATTGTCGTGGAACAAGAGACTGAACCCAAAAACATGACCCGTAAGCAAGAGGGAAATAATTATTCTCTCTTGCCGTAAGTTCATTGTTCGCACGGAGAAAGTTTGAAGATGCGTAAAACACGAATAGATCGTGTGTATATCTTCATGTTCGTTTAATTCAAAGTCTAATCTTGTACGGAATGAGGAATTACTATCAGGAAATAATGCTTGTTCAGATATATGTATTGAATCCCGCCCTTTTCATCTAGCCGGAATTATAACGCATTCCAGAAGCTCCAAAATCCCAGTAGTGATTTGCAGGAGCCTTATATGAGGTCTTTGCAGTCAAGTTATTTTTTTTTCGATCATTAGCACGCGCTTGTTTACAACAGATCAGACAATTCTTTCTGGTCTTCATTTCTTTCCTGAGGTCATTTTCAGCGGACTTTTTACAACTTTTGATTGTATATTTTTTTAAAAAATTCAGGAAAAAAGATGTTAACAACGGATATTCTTGCAAATGTCACAAAAGCTGGAAAAGCTTCAAATCCGGAAGGAACGCCAAATGACTTTTTTGAAATGGTACCTGTGCTTATCCCATCCGCAACACCTTCTATGAAGAGTTGTAGGTGTATAAAGATATCTTACCAAGTAAAAGTCAGTTTTAGGAGTATTCTTCAATCAATTTTCTGTTTTTACTTCTCTGGAATCTTAACACAAAGGCAAAACCATGGCTAGGATTCAGAGAAAAAGATCATCGGAAAACGGATGAGTGGGAACTTGATAAATCAGTCTTAACTTTCTGTCGAAATTGCTTGAAGAGTGTGCTCGCGACTTAACTCGTGGACGTAGTGTATGGTGAGGGGTGAGTGACAGCGGGCCTAGCTGTTCCAGGCTCTCAGATAGTGGGGATAACGCTTTCGTGTTCGTGCTTTCTCAATTTCGCGGACCCGACTATCTCTGAGCCTGGAACAGACTCGGAGGGGCGATTCCAGAAAGTACCTTTTTTCCTTAGCCTTTTAAGTTTTTCCGAAATGTCAAGTTATCGTCTTAAAAGGAATGCAAGGGGGCGCTAGTGTTACAATGCCCTCAAGGAGGACCTTCAATAAAGAGGATCTTTCACTTAATTACTAGTAAAGTATGGACATGACAATGATTTTAATCAGCTAGTTGAAGCTAGCGCCACTGGAGAATTTAACTTGCTAGACGAACCTCTGCTTATCGAGTGACATCTGGGAACGTACCTGGGTTAATATCAGAAAATGAACTGAAGTAGTCCTTAAAACTGGCGCTCAATATCTTGGCTCGTATTGAAATATCCTAATCGGCCTGGAAGTATCTGGTAATGCTATGACCTTCGATGAAGTGCAAAATTCGGCTCCCCCCGGTCTCCTAGAAAAATATCAATTAAAGGACGAGTCTAAAGCAATTCTCAATAAGTCTGTAACTTGAATGACATAACAGGTACACCACGATTGACTAAAATAAAGTTTATTCCCCAAATTCGGGGTTTTAAATGAGGTATAAGGACCGGCATTCACAGATTAGCCTTAAGGGTAATCACACAAGCCAGCCAATAACAAATAAAGCGACGCCTCGTTCAAATGATCGCCTATGCCATGCTGAAGAAATTTTTAAAATATTTCCTCATATAATACATCATTTTTCCCACTCACTACATACAACAAGACGTCATGCAAGTCTAGCCAGAAACACTGACAATGGTAGCCAGTTTGGATGTTATGCTCAAATGGTCAAGTATTCACATGTCAGTATCCCTTTCTTTTCTCTAGTTTACTCTTCTATTGCGTGGAACTGTAAATTTCCGTGTGCACATTCCAATCACGATTGGCTCCGTACGTCAGTCATCATTAAAGGCAAAGACCTCTCCAACCGTCACCTTCATGGGCCTGGCCTCCACATCCATGGAGGATACGGAAGGCATCTTACCTTATCCAAACGAAGGTACGCATGCGCAGCTAGTTTGTTTGTCTAGGTTTAGCGCATCTATGTTGTCGTTCGATTGAATCCTTGGTTGAAATTTTGTTTTCTGTTGTTTTAAATTTATTATCCTACATTACTTTTCTCCCCAAATAAAGGAAAATATAATTCAAATCAAGTATACATTTGAGCCGCAACATGTTCGAAGGCAACTGGGGAGTGTTTGAAATGAGAGAAATTTAACAGTGTAAAGAGCGTCACCAAATTATAATATAATAAATATTAAATCCGCGTCCTTC